TTATTACCAAGGAGACGCTAAGCGCCAAAGTAGTGAAGCGCCAAATCACATTGCTTCCGAAACACGCTTTCTCTTCCCCTGGAGAAAAATGTCCCCATGCCACTTTAAAGAAGAACACGATTTAATTTTTTGAAATTTGGTTAAAAAAGCTTGAAACATGAAGCTCACAGGAACTCCTCCCCTCTCCCACGCCGTGCCGAAATATTAGGCACCTATTAGCAGTTAAAAGTCTACTGCCATTTCATTTTCCGTTTGCACGTCTGAGTCGGCGGGACCTACCAGCGCCAAAGTTATTGTTCGGTAGCGGTAGTTGATAATCCTCTTAAACAGCTAATGGAAAAACTGTCTTTCAAAAAACATAACTAAATAGGCAAAAATGCTTAATAATGGGCCTACTCCATCTACTATAGCGCTTATGTGACTCATACAGGTACAATAGACGTACATATCCATCCAAAGAGTATAAAAAGCAACCCATTAGCCGTTTTCTCGTTGACATATTTTTCGTTTTTCTAACTGAAAAATTCTTCTTCCTGTTAGAAACAAAGTTGGCGATCATTAAATGAAGGGAAAACTTGCAAATAAAAACAATAATTGGGCGCCAACGTAAAATTATACAGGCGCCACTACATTTTTCTGATGTGCGTCATTCTTTTCATAAAAAATTATTTCTTCAAAACTTTTGATAACAAAAAGTTCATTAAATTTCGACAATCACTTCCTTAAAATCAAATACTAATCGACTTTGTCAATTTGCTTCTATTATCCAAGAATTGACATTGAGTCATTGAAGTTTTGAGTACAAATATGAGTAAGATAATCGATGATTAGTCTAGTCCATATCGCAATACAGAAAACGTATTTGCCAAATCGACCTGCGAAAGCTATAGTCAAAAGACTCGAAAAACAAGGTCGCCCATCAATCAAAAAGTCACTCGTTAAGTAAGTGTGTCACTTAGAGACATGATACTCTTTTCAAAGTTTACAGAATGAGAAAACTTTATTTGTAGAGCAAACTAGCAGTATCTAAAACTAACACATTATGTATACCTTTGTTGTAACGCTAAAAAGCACTGACACCAAGTGTTTATGATGATCTTACTCCCCTATGAATCTCAGTTGAGAAGTTGAAAATCCTTATTTTTTTGTCGCTTCTGTCACGTCACGCTGCTTTTCTTAGCATGGACACCTCAAATACAACATCTGCAGAATGTAGAACTAACGTTTGATTAAAATGGACATATATGGTTCTTTTTGTCTGCTGGTGACATTTCAAAAAGAAGATCAGATTTTTTTGACAAAAGTTAACACACTAATTTTAAATCACATTTTATTAAAACAATTAAACAAAAAGAAGATCTTTTTTTCGTCAAAAGTTAACATTATTTTTAAATTACATTTTTGTCAAACAATCGAACAAAAAAAACATTGAGGTTTGCATACTGTTTTATATTTTCAGTTTCTTTGCACTGTTTTTAGAACATGCTTTAAACCACACTCAACCCTGAACACCTCAGTAAGAATTATCGAGATGGTGATAATTACTCAATCGATACAAAGTAGTTTAACACAGCTCTTTAATTATTGATTTTCAATAAAAATTAACGAGCCGTGGGCTATTTGAATTGTCCTTAGGTGAACGACTGTTTTTTTATGAATGGTCGAAACGAGCAATTGAGCAGTAAAAATTGATTACAAGGCCCACCACATAAAAAACAATCAATATAAAACACAACAGAACTTTAATTGGCATATGAAAAATACAAATTAACAACCTATTTCTTATATGTGTAAATTCACTCAAATGTACAGGGGTGGATCTACGATTTTCTCAAGGTTTTTTTGTCGACCTTTTTTCTTTTGACCTAATTTTCCGAACTCTCTCAAATCACAGTAACGACCCTATTTCGACCAAAATTTCTGCGCCGCAGGCAAAGTTATGAAAAAACAGGCCAAAAATTTGTTTTATAGAACTTTTTGAAAAATATTAACCAAAAATTGCGTTTTTCGGCGCGCGTTCCCCCGTAAGTTAATATATACTGGCGCCACAATTATCATGTTTTTTGAAATATTCGGCTGTTTTTTTGAATATCCATAAATTTCCTCGCATGGCTCTTATTAAAAAAATATCATTTTTTTTGGAAATAGTCGGCTTTTTTCTTGAGTATCCAACAGAGACTACAGTTAAGCTTCCAGAATTAGGTTATAATACCTAGGTTAAGCTTCAAATAATTGCAACGTCAACTACGTTTGCAGGAAGATAGAAGTTGAGTCTGCATAGGAAAAAATTCAGACCTGTTGTCAAATAAACTTTCGGAACCTAAATAACAACTGAAAAATACCAAATTCTTAGAGGTACCTGAAGTTGCGTAAAAAAATTGATCCTAGCGTTGTGCCTTTTAACTCCTCGAGAGTTGTAGAATAAGTTGGAAAAGCGAACATTCAAAACAAAATGATGTGTTCGTGAACAAAATCTGTTGGTAAAAGTTTGGCATGTTGAGCGAGTTTCGCCATTTTAAATACCTTCCATGAGAGCTCACAGTCACCACTTGATCTAAACTGACTTTATTGAGTTAAGATTAAATCTTAATTCAAGACAAATTGTTCAAACTCCCGATCGACAACTTAAATACACAAACCATGTCAAAAACTCCTCAGCTCAAAACACCGAAATGGGACCCCAAAGTTTTGATTATTTCCACCACGAGTTACGGAGAAAGAAAGGAATCATTCCATTTTGGTGTGGGCGAATCGAACAAATTAGCAAAGAAATTTAAGTTCAGTCAGCGCTTAGATACGTGGCTACCCAATGGTAAGCCAAGACATTATTCGGGTAAATTTCTCAGCTTTGCAAAGTAGATTTGTTTATTTCAAAATCTTGAAAAATTGTGTTTTCTATTAAGAAACTACCTTTCACGGGTAGCGGAACGTGTAAACAAATTCGTTAATGAGCAAACGCAATCGACTCTCAGTGGAAACTACACAACACAGCGGCCAAGGTATTCCTGACTCCACAAAGAGCGAAAATTAACTAAGATGTTGCAATCAACCGATAGTGCAAACATCCGAAAACAACTAAACACTACTGCAACCTTTCGATGTTGTGAACCTTTGGATAACAGCACTTAACACACATTAACACAGTTTTTAATCTAAGTCTGCGTGCGGTCAATGCAAATTAGAGTTGGTAGAGCCTGAACCAAAACAAAGCTATGTTTCAAAGTGTTTCCTACATTAGAATCAGCTGATTTGGTGATAAAATGGTCAAATCAAAATAGTCAAACCTGAATTGTGCCACAGAAAACTCGTCAAAAATGCCTCGATAATGACTAATCCAGGTCAAACGAAAAAAAACAAGGATAGTCGGATATTGTGCAAATAGGACAGAATGTCCGAGCGTATTTTAGAAAAAAACAAAGTTTTTTTTCGAATTAGTTTTTTAGGGCCTAGTGTAATGCAAGAATTTGGATGAAAGCCTACAACTTAAGCGTTTTCAATCGCCATTGTAAAGTAGCCATTTTGGAAAATAATGGTTTTTTCTAAAGTAGGGACATTGGTTTTTTCTAATATTTTTTTCTGCTGATTTTTTTTTTCATTTCAAGACCACACTGGATTTACTGGAGTAAAAACAAATTTTCTGTAAATGAATAAAAGTTGCACAGCTTATCTTTTATTACAAAGCCTGCTCCATCGCTTTTTTTTCTCGAGATTAGACTTGCCAATTTTTCTCGACACAAATAAAATTTCACAACTTTTTAAGGTCGTTCGCTTATCACGACTGAAAGGGCTCTAACATTATATAACACTCAACCCAATCTGATCAACATTTACTTCCGTACTTGATGTCGCGTAGAAAAACAGGAAAAATAAAAACACAACCGAAGACAAAAATTCTTCTCCATTTTAATAATCGGAACATTAACGGCATCAAAAGTTTTGAAATAAATACATGAAAACAGCAATCTATCAATTGAACTGGCTTAATATATAAAAAATATATATCCAAAAAAAGGATCCAGAAAAAAAATCACAATTTTTACAAAAATAATATCAATTATACCAGTTATTGCAATTTAAAAGCTATTTCAAACTCAAACAGCTTTTATTTTTTAATTATTCAGACTTTGAAGAATATTTTTTGTCAACTTCTGGGGGTTTGAAACAATTAAATTTAGAAACACGCTTGAGATGATCCAATGCAGGCGTGATGATCTACATAGTTCGAGATTTGCCATATTTCCAATATAAATCAATAAAAAAGATTTTTGCAATAAATTATTGGATCGCTAAAATTTTAGCAACCCATCATTTTAATTGCTATGAATTTGACTATAAATGTAAGCAATCAATCATAGGAAGAAAGATTACAGGTAAAATAATATTAATTTCAATTCAATCTCAGAAAACTAATATTTTTCAGCTAACCCCGCTTAAACCTTTAATTGAAATAATGAAAAAGTTTTGAAAAAAAAACACCCAAATCATCCGTCTTTTTCTTCGAAAGTCTGAACAAAAATTAACTGATTGCTATCCTGTCATTAAAAATTTCCAAAGTTTTAGTATTTTATATAAAAATTAAAAAGTTTGCGATTTTGTAAGCACACTATAAAAACAGGCGAGACTGCGCTTCGCAGACACTAGCGCGAACGCGACAAAAACCAACTATATAAAGTGCAATAAAAAGTAGAAATAAGCCTCTAGTAAGTAAAAATTCGGCTTCGTCTCGGATTCGATCTGCGACCAACAGATTATGAAGCTCATGCACTAACCACTCAGCCACGGACGCTGAATAAATCACCAGCACTAGCCAAAGAACAGATTCTATGAAATTTCCAATGCTACATGTTTCCAACTTTGCGAGTTAGGTTAGAAAAAAAGAAGGCTTGTACTAATACACTAACGCTCGCTAGCTCGCAAGTGTAAGCAATCAAAAAGATCACAAATTTGGTTAACGAAACTTAAAATTTGGAAGCCGATTATAGCTCAGAACATGCACTTACTTGAACAGAGTGACTATCCCTGTGAACTGGTCGATGTTGAAGATACCTTCGCCACAACTGCACGACACAATACTGAATCTGACATCTGCCTGATCCTGAGTGTCTTTGTCTGGATCAGTGGCCACCACTTGGATCTCCTCCGGAAGCTGTAACATCTCCTCGAACACTGTGAACACGTGTGCGGCTCCTGTGGACCCTCCTCCTGGGTAGGGGATAGACAGGATGGGTCTGTTGTCGTTGATGTCGCGAACATTCACCGTTATCTGCAAACATACATCAAACCACCATGAAAAATGAACAATTCAACCAGTAAATACAAATTTTTATTTCAATTAGTTAGTTTTCGATTCAAAAAACCTCGAACTGGAGAAATAGTCTTCCTTCGTCTTCTCTTCTTCAAATAAACATTTCAAAGCATTACTCATCAGAGAAATTGGAGCAACATATAGGCTCAGCAAAAAAGGACATTTGATGTTTTGACTTCCTAATTGAATGTGTGAAAGTCCATATGAAAGCTCATAAACTAAATTGGACAATAAAAATCAAACTGTTTTCTTCAAAAAAAATCCTTGTGAAACTAAGCTAGCCGGTTGCTGAGCAAGCACAATGTTCCGACCTGATTCGTAAAAAAAACGTTCTTTAAAATTTTTCAATGTCGTTCGAATTACGACTGAAAGGACTTCAATTTGATACATCTGATTACTATTTGTGGAACCTAATTTTCCTTGGAAAAAAATAAAAAAGTAAAACACAAATTTCCTCCCCATTTTCAATGGTCGGAACAATAATTTATTTGCAATATATTTTAATACGTGGTCTTTGTTGAACGCTGTTTCATTGAACATGCCCTTTTGAGGTTCTTATTCAACTTGCTGAGAAATTACATAATCTACCAAGCAATGCCGCCAGCGACAATCGATAAAGGGATTTTATCGGTCGATCAAGCTTCCTTTGTTTATCTGCTACCACACTAGCACTTTGAAGCCAATTCTAACTAAGCCACGAAACTAAGAAGTAGTTTAGTTTGATTTAACTTTTGCGAGTATTTGGATAAACATAAATAAACTACTTCGTTGCTACACTCTTCATGCTTCACATTAACCTAGTTGTTGTCATGGTTCGATTTACACCATCAAATTTGACCCACATTTTTGTACCAAGATGTGAACAAATAAACCTCTTTCTCGTTGGTAAGACTGAGATATAAATTTATTTATCGCTTAGACGGGAGCAACCGGAAGCAAAGAGACGATAAATATGTCAACTTTTGAAATAGCACACACTAGATTTGGGTCAGGGCTTTGAACAGTGTATATGTAAATGTAGTAGCTAGCTGACATGCCGTGAAGAAGGAAAAATTCGTTGAGGGTGCAATCGAATCGATCTAGCTAAGTAAACACCCCCCCCCCCCCCCACCCCCAATGTTATTTAGTACAGATCATTAAAGGAGGGGGAGAGTTAAGTTGAGAGGTAATTAACAAGATCCGTTGTAGTTATCCTTTTTCCGATAAAATTCTAGTAACTTAAGAAACCAAATGTCTGGTCAAACATTAACCACTAATCCCAATTAAAGTTCATTAGTATAGAAGGCATTAAAAAAACAGAAATAAAAACACTTCAAAATAACATATGGTCACTTAAATAACATTTTGCTCCCCGTTTGTCAATGTTCAAGTGGAAAGTGTTCTCGAGTTGACATTTTTTGCATTTGTTAGTATCCATCAAACAAAATTCCTTGTATTTAATTTTAAAAACCAATTTTAGAGAGCAATGCCAAAATACATTCAAGACTCGTCCGTAGTGTTGAATATTTTACAGTCCTCAATGAATTAGGTCCACATAAATGGCATGATTTGTTATATCTTCAAGTTCTATATCCTCATAAATGCATGCAGAATCCAGATCACTACCAACTGAACCTAGCCGTAATGTTAAATTCGGGTTTAGTTGACTATCACCCCCCCCCCCCCCTGGTACCTTGTAACGAATCCTCCCTCCCTTTTTAGCAAAACTCATTCAGATAATTTAGGAACAGACAGGGGGTTTGGTATCTTTCAAAAATTAGCTGCAGAACAAGGGGGGGTTTAATGTTTTATAAATGTTGGCACAGAACTCACCTCACAAGCGTGGCTCTTGGGAGGGACGCCGTGGTCCTCTGCGACTACATAGAACCTGTACTCCTTCTTCTCCTCCCTGTCCACCGGGGACAACAGAGTCAGTGTGGCCGAGTGTCCCTTGTCGTCATTGGTGATCTTGAACTTGGAGTTGATGTTCTCTACAACATAAACATATGCATATACATTACTATTTATAATAGTCATTTAATCCCGAATAAACATTTTAAAAACACTGCTCAGCAAGCTTTCGAGTTTAGGGCTCTTTAAGCTGATACTAGTTTCATTCATATTCTTTCAGAAAAAAATGAGTTGAAAATACCAGATATCTTTGGAACTGGTTTTCTTTTTGCTTAAATCATTTTAGAAAAAAAAATCCAAATAAACTTCATTAAAATTTTGCATGCAAAGGGATTTCTCTGGTGGGATATATTCTTGCTCCTTGCACTGCAATCAGAATTTCATGATTTTTCTTAGTTTATTGTTCTATTTTCACTTTTTCTCCGAGCTCTTAATTAGGTTTACCCTCATAATCAGGAGAAGATATATGACCCCGACTGTTTTTAATTACAAACTTCCCATACAAAATAACGACATCGATCAAAAAATTAACAATAGCTTCTTCCTACGGAACTAAGAACTTACTCAAAAATAGATCAGTACTAATTAGATTGGAGTATAACCCAGCTTATCAGCAACAACAAAAAAACTTATCCCTGAATTATGCAAAGTCTCTCAAATTGAATTTCATTCTAGGGACGCGCCCATATAACTCAGGGGCGAGTAGCTGAGACTGCATACTTTTACAGCCATCAGGGCAACAGTGATCTACTGCAGTACATGTACTGTAAATCTCAACGAGAGGAAAAAAATTGTTTCAATTCACAGCTTTATGGAAGTATTTTTTTGCTGATGATGGACGATGTTTAAATAGGAAATCTTGAAAAAACTTCCACCAGCAACTCTAGATAATGAAAACAAAACTTTTCATTTAGCGAAAGTGATTCATAATTTTTATCTGCTTATATTATTCTAACATTATAATTATCCAGGACTCAACCCAAATGCGAAACTCAAATCAGGTCTGAGCTGTCCTCTAAAAAGTAATTCTAGTTTTTAATTAAAATTTAACCTGGGTTCCAATTTCCATTCTCCCTCAGCCTAAATCCTCCCCTCTCTCCTTCAACCCGGTACTATATAATTAGGAGTCTAATTATCTCCACTATTCATTCGTGAGCAAGCTCAATCATTTCAATCATCTTTCACAATGAAAACCACCAACTTCAAGCCGTTTACCAGTCAGTAAAATTTCATTGTCAAGAGCCGATTTGAGTATTTAATCAAAATATTTTTTAAAACAAAACAGCAAATACTTGGTGGCATGTTTTTTTCCTATTTATCGGCCATTTTTATCGTTGCAATTTGAACCATCCGCGTTTGAGTACATTAAATAAAATTTCTAGTTACTGACCAGGTTTATATTTGTTGTTTAAGAAAAATTAACCGACTTGGAATTTAGAATAAGGCTAATCATTACTTGAATTGCATTGACAACAGAAACCATTTTTTCGACCCATTTTTGAAAAATTTGATTGACAGGTCAATCTACTGATTGACAGCTCAGACTGCTACAATGAAGACTGCATTTAATGAAAGAAACTAACTTTTAAAACCCAAATTAGTGCGTATGGCTCTTCTTTTTTTGTGCTTTTGCCTGATTATTTGTAAAAAAAAGAGGCTTTCCCAATGAATAAAGCAGAGAAATTAAAGCGAAGTCCCACGGCTATCAAAGGCTGCATGACCTGCTTTAAGTCCTTAATAAAAGTTGTAAATGATGCGTAAGAAAATTGTTCTAAATTGGTTTTACAACAAGAAAAAAAACGATGAGTCACAACTAAAGGCAGTGTCTCTTTTTTGTGGGGCAGGCCCGAGTTAATTTCATTGCCTATTTGGCTTACTGTTTTAATGGGCTTACATAATTACACAAGTGGGCGGAGAATTAATTTAACTTTCAAATAACGAGAAAAGCCCGTATTTTTCTGAAAAAAGTTCCAGTATTTAAAAAAAAATTCTCTTATCAAATTGTGTTTTTGTGGTGGTATCAATTGAGACCCTGGTATCAAGACACTAGTCTGGAAAATTGAACCGTCTCAAGTTTGTTGGAAAAAATTGGTAGTTATGGCCTGGCAGTACGTGTGTGGATGTTGTTGTCGGAAAGTAATTTTCACTGAACAAATTCCAATAAAAAGCTGATAGAAAACAATGAGTAGAATGAGGGGAACATTTTATGGTTGAGGGGTAATTTGCAAAACATTATTTCCGGACATCTTCCGAACACCTTGTTTTTTGAATAAAACATATGTTAACACACCGTCATGTTGCATTTACAGCCACTAAAATCGTTTTTTGAGTGCTAAAACGTCTTTTACTTTTGTTATTTCATCTTCTATTTCCTATTTGTGAGTCACTAGGCATGGTATCATTTTTCAATCACAAACATGAGTCAACGCTGTTACACTTGTACTCATTCAAGGACTTTCATATCAATTTCACCTTGGCTCAAATGAGTCTTCCGTCACATCCTATCGTTGAGAGAAACCCTTCTGTCAATCTGTCAATGGGAAATTGACGAAGCCCTCCAATGGTCAAGAATACAAGATATAATACTACTTAGAGATAACAAAATGATGCCAATCGATTTAAGCAATTATTCCACTAATGTTAATCAATGAATGAGATAAAAATTATATTCAAATCTATATATTTTTGGGCCTGTTCTTAAAGCTGTATAAGTGCCTTCGATAGACCTAGCAAGAATCACTTTTAATTGTTTTATAAGATTTTCCATGTGAAAAAATGCTGATATGTACAATTTTTTTTCTATTTAAAACTTTTGGGTAAAATTTCAAAACCGAGCATTTTGCGCGGAAAATGAAACTGTTGCTGTTCAGTTAAAAACGGCTCGGAGCAGTTCATTCAGTGAGCATAAATTTAACCTTCAGCTAGAACACGACACTTAATTCCAGTACCCCGATAATCTCTTCACATTTGTCAACTGAAGTTTTGTCGCTCAGGCGGGCTTTTTCGTGGGTGGCGGGGTAGAAACAAGGCAGACTGTTCTCTTGATTTTGTTCAGGGAATTTGGTTGAACTAGGATCTGAACAATTCAGCAGGCCTTTTCTAGCCCGCGCTTGGCGAAAAACGGGACGGGAAATTAAGCATGCTAGTAGTTTAATGTATTTTAGGTTCAAATATCCGATCGCATGCAGTGATCGCTTCCTGTTCTTTTAACCGTAATTACTTTTTAAATATAAAACTGTTCGTTTTGATCAAAAATTTAAGCAAAAACACCGAAAGCTCTCCATATGTCAAATGCTTCGATCTGTTAGTAAAATCTTGTTTGCGGTCAAGTATTTTTTTATTTTACATGTATGAAAACAACTTTTATAAGACTTCAAGTAGTTTTCGGTTAATGCAAAGACGTATTTGCAATATGTCAAAACGATTTGGCTTTTCGCTCTAACAACTAACAAATCTGCAAATTTACCTGCCTCAGTCCTATCCCTGCAATCCGATTTTAAACAATATCTAGATACGTAGATATCTGCTATTACCAAAACATATAAACCTTAAGCGACTCAACTTTTGCTCATTTTCCTGCTTGGTACGATCATTTCTCTAATACCATTTAGCGGGCAACAATTCCTCTTAGTTCTCTCCAGTAAATACCAAACGGGGCGGGCTGGAGATAGGTAGATAGCAGGAAAGGCGCAATTATCCCCCCGTTATGCTGTCAATTCTGCAGTCTGACGCACCTCACAGCATAATGGGCTGAAAATACCGTCTTGGCGCTTCTTAATTTCTAGAGAGCACTTAATCTACCCCAAATTAGCCCATCAAATCCCCGATAGGCGATTGCTCACAGGAGGCCTCTCTGTCAGTTCAATCCTAAGAATTAAGATTGCCTCTCGCTCGTTATTTTTAAAATCATCTCTAATCAACTTCATAATTTGGTAATGCACATTTCATGTTGATAATTTCCATTTTTACGCACTACTTAACCCGGGGAAAAACTAATAGAAGCACTACTTAATAATGGCGTTCAGCTCTAATTTTATCCTCGTCGCTCAGCTCCAATTTTTTTACTAGCTCTGTTCTTTTTAAGCTTAATAACACGGACCATGCTCAGATTATTCTCACAAGAACTATAAAATTTGGCGTCAAAAGTTTAGATGACTCATATCCTCAAAGAAAAACTTCCTCTTGGTTTCGACCCAACTAACACAAATAGCAAAACCTTAACCTTACAAACAAAAGCTTGACACTTCCTTTGATTAATCGTACTGCAAACACCTACAAAAGTGCGATTTTCAATCATTGTTGCTAGAAAGGATAAACTTCTTGATTTAAAATCAGAGTTCGGAGCTTTAGATCAATCAGGTCATCAAATAGGGTTATGTAGGTCATCGCCAAACCCTATCATTGGTTAACTGTGTCAAGATAGCAATGCCTTTGAAGAAGCGGGCCTATTAATCAAGATATTATCGGTTCTGAATGCGAAAGCGTCGTCGAAGTCTTAAATCATCATGGATAACCTGTCATGGTGATGAATCAAAAACTTCAGATAACTACAAACTGGAAGCTTTTAAATAACAGGCTTGGAAATTATTTTTTTCAAAATAAAATTTGAATAATATTTCAATGTTTCTAAAAAAAATAATGAAAAAACCTATTTGTGGCGGTGACTAGAGGAAATAAATCCTATATGTTTTTGTTTTCAAAATAATCAACGAAGGAAGACATCAGATTCGGAGTACTTGATTTCATGTTTTCTTGATATTCTGCGCTTAATACTGTAGCGTTTACCATTAAGTAACATTCTTAAAAGTTCCTTCGAGCAAAACGGTATATGAATGTTTACCACAAAATATGTCGTTTTTTCTGGACTTTCAACTTGGAATAACAAGGAGCTGCTAATTTCAGAATTCGCTTTTAAGTCTTATCGCGAAATTGTTCAGACCTGAGCACTTAAAGTTTTGCCACCAAATGAACAATATTGATAGAACCAAATTTTAGATCTCAATTGTTTTTTAGGCACGATAATTAAGCCAATAAATTCTTAGATTTTTATGACAGCAGTTAACAGGTATATCGATTACTGTTAAGCTTATAGGATAAAATTAATGGCATAGAAAAAATTGAACCAAGTTCTGGCAAAAAAAAACAATAATCGAAATTTTCCTGGTTCATAAAATCCTTATGGCCATTTATTCATGCTGAAAAATAATCACTTTATGAATCTTCTTTTAAATCAGTGAAGCTTGAAAAAGAAAATAGGACATAAAAACCATCCAAGCTTTGAAAATGGACCATATCATGTTGTGCAATTAAACCAGCCGTGAAAAACAAGTCTCAAACGAGCAGTTAAGACGAAAACTGACATGTATTTGCTATGACATTTGTTTCAATTTCTGTGGTTGAGCAATGAATGCAACCACCAATAAAGCATTTACTTCCATTTTGAGCAATTGAAAAATTACCTGAAAAAAAACACTCGAAACGCCCCATTTGCGAAAATGCCACAGGAAGCACAGGCGAACCTAGAATTCTTCTGAGCGAGGAGCAAGAAGGCATTTGTGAAAAATGTTTTAGAAATCTGTTTAAATTTTTGGTCGATCAAATTGAGAATTTTTGAAAGTAATCATAAAAAAAACTCGGGGGTGCTCAATCCTAAAATAAGAAAAACTCGCGGGTGCGCGGGTGTTCAACCCTAAAAGAGCTGGTGGATCCAAAATGGATACTGTAATACAGTACCGCTGAGGTGACAGATGAAGCAGCTTCTCCCCCCCCCCCCTTCATGTGAATCTTGCAAAATTTCATATTTTTTAAAACCTTTTAAAACAATTTCGCAGAAGCCAAAAATTGCACCTTGATTACTACTTTTTATCAAGCACATCCAAAAAAAGATGTTTATGAATTCTTGTTTCCCTTATCTGCCTAGAGCTTCCCTAGCCGTTAATGAAAAACAAACATTAGTAGCCGCGCGTGTGTTATCTCGAAGGGAGTCGCCGCTTCCTGTCGCATTTTGATCTTATCACCAACTGATTTTGATTTCCGACTCACTGAAATGCTAATGAAGTCCAAGCACCCCAATCAACACCGGCCTGAAGAGTCGTAAAATGCGATGACTTATCGCAATTACAGTGATCAACAAAACGACAATGACTACTATAAAACCAGTTGAAAAACATCATCTTTTTAGTTAGAAAAAACAAGTTCAAAACTAACTATATTTTAGTAAAGAACTGTGTAAGAAGAGATAATCAAATTGTTTTCTACGCAATTAATTCCATATTTTCATTACTGCGTTTTTTTTGAAAAAAAAAGCTTTTAGAATCCACCGATAGTTTGAGACTCTTGTGTTCCGTTTTTTCTTTCAAGTGTTTTTTTAAGCACCATTCAGACCTATTAAGCACCGCTAGATGCTAAGATGTTCCAAAAAAGCCAGCTTTAAAATGTCCACTAACCTATATACGCTTTTGATTTGACATTTAAAAAACCATAGCAAATAAGCGATCAAACTGTCGCAAACAAAAGGCCAGAAAAGACCGGATTTAGCTTCGTTGAAAAGCGATCTAGTAATTCTGTGGAATCCAAGTGGAGCTCATCAATAAGAAATAAGTTCAGAGACAGGTGTGAAAACTTAAACTTTTCCTCACCTTCGTCTTCAGCTGACTTCAAAGAGAACTGGATCACGCCGTTCACTGATTTGTCTTCGTCCTTTGCTCTGAAGATCTCAAAAAGTGGCTGTCGTTGCTCCTCCAACACCTCCAAATGTCGCGGGCAGTTCGAAATCACAGGTGAAAAGTCATTCTTATTGTCCACGTACACTTTCATTGGGGCCACTGCTTCGTTCTGAATTCCGCCTCGCGAGTCCCGCGCGAAAACTAAAAGGTTTTGATTGGCAACAACTATCACAAAAATCGTCAGCCAATAAGAGGCCGATGTTTTCAAACCCGATTTTTCACTCGAGTAATGCAACATTTTAATAAAACTAAACAGATTTTTTTTCTTCGAATGTCAAATTAATTATAGTATGTTACAAAATTAATGATGATAGTCTTGTTTTTAGGCTCGATCAATCTCAGGCCGGCACTATAAACAAAAGAAGAAGAGGAGAAGAATTCTAATAATATTCTCGAAGTAAGTCTACCGAGTCAGGAAACTTCAGACGTGGAAGTGACAAGACAAAGCAATTTACACATTTTCCAAGTTACAAAGACAAGACAATCAAAATATGAAATACGGGGAGCAAAAGTGTATAAGAATAGGACGTAACTTGGTAGAACAAAAAAGATGAACTAGTAATGCTATTTTCGTTCAATCAAACTGAGGATGAAGATGCGACCAAGATACACAAGCAAGACCCGGGGGCGCAGAAGGGAGCTAGGTGGGTAAGAATAAGAGTAGTAAGATGGTAAGAATTGAATATACTTGACGATGGCACGCCGCACGGGGAAATAATAACTGTAGTAAAAGAAAGGTATACCACTGGTTAGTTGCTGTGATAACAACTATAAATTCGGCTCATAGTAAGCTTGCTTACTTCTTTACTTGGCTGAGGAAAAATAACTGGGAAAATAATGAACATCAGTGGCTTGTTGTATGTGTATATTAAACTATATAGGCCGATGGATGGGGTGATGGCTGACTTCGATTGATTAATGCTAGAGTTTACCACCCGTTGGCTCTTAAAAGGCGGGTAAAATGTAAGAATAGATTGTATTTTTGTAACCGAACAGTGAAATTGAAATATGGGTGGGTAATGTTTTGTGTTTTATTGTTGCTACCCTTCTTATACCAGAGTACCCAGCAAAGAAATTGACAAGACGACAGGATAATGGATGGTCGAAACGGCTGCGTGGTTTAAAATTCTAATTCTGACCAGTCTGCTTTTTCTTCTATTTTCTTTTATTCATCTAACCACCATCTGAATAAACTTGTAGCTCCAGCCAAATTGACTTTTTATTCCAAAAGATCTCCGGGCATGAAGTTTTTTTTGCTCAATCGAAAATTGTGAACACTTCCTTTCTCAGGTAGAATATAGAGAATAACGAGCAGGGCAATGTTGGTGAAAAATAGAAGGGAAAGAATTCCGTTAATAATGTATAACAGAAGGGAAGGATCTGATTATTAATGATTAGACAGCGTACAAGGGTGCTTAATTTGACACCTTAAGATAATAGAACCGCTCAGGGAACAAAATATCTGAGCTCAAAAGCGTCCAATTTTCCAATTAGCTCAGGTAAATCACATACGCGCTCTTTGATCGCTGAACAATTGGTCAAATTCAACTAAAGGTTTTTAAGCGGCACAATTTCGCTGACCGTTTTGTAGAACTTAATTGTCCAGGTTAAAAGGGAAACCAATTTTCTATGGTTTTGTTCTGAATTCCAGGATTTTATTTTGGTGAGGTTTCAGTTGATGACGAGCACTTGCCAGACGACCAGGAGCAGTTTGCAGATACCTTGATAAAGATTTGCTTGTACAACTAAAGAATACAATAATGAGAGGATACAAGAATGCAAGAAGAGTGAAACACTTTCAGCAAACGAATGAAAGAAACACGACTATCTCGTTTTCTGATGGATGAGTGATGACTGTTCTCTTCTCTTCATGTTAGGGCATACAAAATAAAGAATGCTTAGTGGGTCAGCTGTATTTACTGATCGAGCCTTCACTTAATTCCGATAATAATAAGCCAAACGAATAATTGGGCACATAAAAGCAATTTATCGGTTGTGCAGCTTAAACCTCAATCAATTCTATGTTCAACGAGGTTCATAAGCTTATGTAAGACGGGTTTTCCTCAACAGACTCAAACGCTGATAAGCATAAACCAATAAATTTAGTTGAGCTGTGGTTTGTAATAATAGTTTAACGAATAACCACCATCGATAATAATGACAGATCGGGTTTAATTTGAGGGCAGCCCGGCTTTGTTTAGTAATTTTATTGGTTGGATAATATCTCGTTTCACCGATCTAATAAGATTAGCATCTCTCTTATTCTGATCCAATAATTTCTCGGAATAATTTTTCTGGTTAAGAAGCGAATTCAACTATGAATTCGAGACGAGAACTTTTGAATGAACTCGAAAACGTCGATTTTTTGCGGTGTTCAATTTTTGAACAGAACCGGCGCTTATTCGGCCAAATTTGCTCTTTTCAGACCTTTTCACTGCCGCAAATGTGTATATTCTATAAGCACGGCTTAACCAAAATAAACCATAAAATATTGTGGCGTATTTTATTTTCCTGAATTACTATTGGCTAAATATTTTGTATTTTAATCACAATTGTACTTGAAAATATTCAAATAGATTTAGAAAGTGCGTTGGAATTCCATTAACAAAATTGACATCTCAATTACCCAGGTAAAATCAAATAACACAAAAAAACCGATATGAGGTAATTCTAGTATTTTAATCAATTTTTTTTTCAAATATTTTTATACTAAACTGTCAGCGAAAAGCAGAAAATTACAAGAAAAATAAAGAATACAAGTAAAACAATTCAACACCTCAAATGAAAACAAATCTGTACCAATGTTAGTTTTTAATACAACTTGCTGACAAACACGCAGACAAGATATTCGAAATTTAATAAACTTCTGCGTACTTGATGCTCAAAATCGTTCTCATCGAGTTTAATAATCGGCCATGCATGTGCTTTCAAAAATAGCTCGTTAACGCCAGTTACAATTTATGGGTGCCGGCCGGCTTTTTTTCAAAAAATGACTCCCGCTTGGCAATTTTTTTCTAATACTTTCATGGGGCCAAACAATTTTAGTAAGATACTTTCACAGCAAAGAATTTTGTATTGTAACCAAAACATGCGTATGTAAGTATAAATAGCTCAAAAAAGGCTGGGCTACTTTTGATAATTACTCGGAACAAATTATAGTTAACAAACTGGAGTATTTACCAATGCGTTCTTTGGTTTGATAACAAACGCCGATTAAAGTCACTTTGTTTAATTTTGGTCTCTTATTATAATCGCTTAATAAACACACATATTAACCAGCAGAGATCTCCAAAAGCCATTGATAGCTTACTCAGTTTGCAACTTTATCAGCTGAATGGTACCTAACAAATGGCATGAAGTGATTACGATATCACAGCATGTGTGGCAATTATGCGAACAAATAGGCTCACTTTAGAAAGTAAACATGTCTGATCCGCCGGTGGGGAACCATGCCACGCTCGCTATTATTCGATCCCTCCCCAAGTTTAATCACGCCTCAAAACACTTGGGGGCATTGATTGAGTTTCTATTGACTAGTCATGAAGTGACTGGCAACAGCTTGTTAGAGAATTTTTCTTCAAAAAAAGCAAGAGCTCGAAATTTTTAAATTCAAAATTGACCAAAAGTTGCATTAAAACTGAAATACTCAAACAGGGATAAACCAAATTACAATAAAAGCATTAACCCCAAAAAATCTCATTCTATGTCTTACTTTTATATGTCTTACATTTTCTCAGGTCGTGATCTGTGTTATCTGGGAAGTTTTGACATTTATAAAGTTGCAGATAAATGTTTAACAATTTTAAATAGGACTAGGAGAAAAGGGTTAAAAGATGTTCCTATCATAAAGAAAATTTTTTTTAGCATTTGATCAACAAAAACCATCGAAATTCTTTAAAATTTTTTTTTTTTCAAATTGAGTCTCTTTAACGTGGTGTGATGAAATGATATGAACGAAAGCCTAAATTTTAGGTATACACGAAAATCATAATTAATTGAGCATATTTGACAACAGTTTTTGTGGAAAGTTTGAACAAAAACAATGAAAAACCAATTTAAGAAAATTAAAAACTAGAATTTTTTTTTAAGTTTTTTTTGTTACTGGGTTTAGTGATATATCTTATTAAAGACCTTACAGTCGTTAATCGAACCACAATTGAAAATTTCAATCAAATTTTCCAAATGTCGAGGAAAACCGGTTTGAAATTTTTGATTTTTCGCCTTATTTTGAGCGAATAAAGCGAGCGAGCAGTCTTATTTTAATTACTTCAAAGCTTGTAATAGCTTAATCTAAAACGTCAAAACTTGGTTTAACTAGATTAATGTTATTTTACTCTGAGTATTTCAGCGCTTTTTTGAAATTTTTTCAAAATTTTCAAAAATTCGAAAACTTTTTTTTTCGTTTTTCTAGTAATTTTTTCTACATTTTTGTTCAGCTCCTTTTATTACACCACGCCGAAAAAAACGACAAAAAGTTTTAAAAATCTTGTTTTTTTTCCTAAAACTATGGTCGGAGCATTCTGTGTTACTTGCAGACTTGTTATCCATGTTTTAGAAAAGGTTTTTGTCGTTCGAATGTCGATTGAACGGGTTTTAATATGATAAATTTTGTGCATTATTCACATGATTATTTGTGGTACTAAATTAGGATGTAAGAATTAACAAAAAATTAAACACTCACGAATTCAAGGTTACTCCCCACTTTCAATGGCTGCAATGGTTAACATAGCACAAAAAATAGCACGCTCAAAAAAGCTGAAAAAAATAGTTTCAGTAGAAAGGGAGAAAACACAGAGCAAAAATAAATCATGCAGTACCACTTACAGTTGTTTTTAACGAACAAATAAAAAACTAGATTAGCCGGTTGCAGTGCTAGTAGAACAAAATGTTCCAACTATATTTACAAAAAACTACCTAAAAAAGTTTTTGTGTGGCTTGGTTTTGTTTCTTTTGTTTTGCTTTTTTGGGCTTGATGAAAGGATTTGAACGAAAGCCAAGAGAACTTAGGTGTCTTCCCTAGCCTTAGTTAGGTAGGCATTTTGGCCAATGATTTTTTTCTCCTTAATTTTGTTTAACTTCTAAGGAAAACAAAGTCTTCCGGGTTTGAATAAAATTTTCACGGTTTATCCTTCTATAAAAATCCTGCTTGAATTTTTTTTGAAAGTTGGTCGAAGTCGTCCAAATTATGATTGAAAAGAGGTTCATTTGATACATCACTCGACTCACTCTAATTATTATCTGAGGTAGCTAATTTTACTTGAAAAAAAAATGAAACATAACCGAATACAAAATTTCTCCCCATTTTCATTTGTCAGAACAACAAGGATAGCCGGTTGATGAGCAAGTAGCAAAAAAATTAACAACCATATTTTTAAATAACTACAATTTATTTTTCAAAATATTGATTTTTTTTGGTCCGTTGTATGATAAAATGATAGAACTAAAACTCCAACGTTTTAAACCAGTTTTTTCAACAAGTGGACAATTTTTTGAATGTTTTTTAATGTCGTTTGAATCACAACCAAATTGTTTTAAAATGATTTCTTAACATGCCCATTCCGATTATGATTTTTAGTACCATATTTTGCGTGAAAACAAAACAAACTTGCTCGCTCATTTTATTTGCTCGACTTCAGAACAAAAACCAAAAATTTCAAACACGTTTTTCTCAACACTGAGGCAATAATTTTGGAGGTTTAAAAATGTTGTTCAAATCATGACCAAAAAGGTTATTGATCAATTGGTATATCACTCGACCCATTCCGATGATTGTTTGAGGCACACTAATTTGCATGGAAAGTTGAAAAAATTGAAAAAAAAACAAACCCAAATACAAAGTTTTTCCTTTTTTCAATAGTCCGAACAAAAAGATTTTAATTTAGAAAAACATTGTTTTTTCAATCTCATGTCATTTTTCAACACTCTTAATTTAAAAAAAGAGTGTTTTGCAAAAGGAATGCTAATCAAAATTTCAAAGTTTTACTAGGCTAAAATTATGTTTTTTCTTAGGCTTAATTCAATTCTTTTCCATTTAAACAGGTACCAGCCCTCTGAGGCTAAAAAATAGATTATATAGACTAAAAAGAGACAAAAAATACTTGAAAGAAGACACTGGAAGGGTTTGAAATTGAAATACCTTTAACTCATTCTAATGATGGTTTTTTGTACCAAATTTTGCTTCGAAAAAAAAAGAAAAAAAAACAAACTAAAACACACACAAAAAAACATATTTTCTAACCGCATTCAAATGTTGGAACAAAAATGTTTGAAATGAACGTAAAATTGTCAATGTTTTCAAATTTTTTTTGAAACGTAGGATGAAACTACTCTTCAGGTGCAGATCTAGCATTTTCTCGATGAGGGAGTTGGATTTTCGAATTTTTTTAGGTTGGCTAATTGATTTTCCGAGCTCTCCCAAAGCACTAAAAAGTCTAGACAATAACTGATTTTTTTATGATGATTATCGATTGTCATGCAATAAAAGATAGTGTCATGAGAGGTACCTTCTAATTTATTAGAGTAACCCATTAGACGGACCATTTTTTGCCTACACGGTCAAACTACTCTTGAATGTTAAATGTTTTGAAAAACTCTTAATAGTTAAAAATTTGCTGTGCTGTGACCAAAAAACTTCCCACCAAAAACTTCGCCTCTTTAGTTAGGGGTCAAATCAACAGTTTCTGCTCAAAAACTCTGATGTGTAAAGCAGTTTACTGTCTTAATCGCGGTCCCGTTGTCAGTATAGTAGAACTGTCTGCAAGTAGTTTCACCTTGGTGACAGGAGTCACCTGCACTGGAGTTCCATGGATATTAATCGATTATATTGTCATTTTATAGTCAGTATCTATAAAGTTACAAAAACAATCGATTGTAATCCATCAAAAGTAGATTCTAATCCTAGTATTTTGTATATCAATAAATTCCATTATAATCAATTAAAACCGGTTCAATACCCAAATTATTGCTCGTACGCAGTAAATTTTCTAAAACAGATCTGAAATAACCTTTTTCAGATCTAAATTTCAGATCTGAAATAGGTTGAGAAATAATTAAATACTGCTTGGATACCTTAAGGATTGGTTATTTCAGATCTAATTTTAGGTATAAATTTTTCTTTTAATTGGTTGTTTCAGATCTGAAAAAATCTATTTAATATCTGACATTTAGCTTTTCTTGGTTATTTCAGATATGAAAAACCAATGATTTGGACTCAATTTTTACTATTTTGATTTTTTTTAGCTTCTGCTAGCTACTAGCAGGTATTCAGCAAAGTATCAGTGAAAGACTGCGTAAGTATGTTTCCCCAAGCATGAAATAAACATTGGAAACGCATAAGTAGCGCATGAAAATCAAAAAAGTTACAGGTCTTCTAACAGTTTTTGAAAACTTTTTAACACAGTTGAACAAGAAATTTAGTTCGAAAAAAACTATTTTCTGACCGCTAGTTAACCTAAACATAATTGTGTATTGCAGAAACATCAAAAAGTAAAAACTCCATGTTTTGCTCGAAATGCATAAATTATAATAGGATCTGAGTTTTTGTTTTTCTAGGTTATTTCAGATCTGAAATTTTCAATTTTAGATCTGAAGTTTCTAAATTCTTATCAAAGTCTGAAATAAAGAATTCAGATCGATCTGAGAATCAACTTAAGTAAGAAATAAAAAATTTCAGATCTTGCACAGAAAATCCCCTGGGTACGGGTGTTGAGTTTTTTTTTCAAATTTCAATTTGTGTTCTCTCGAGTGATAATGAGCTTGTGATAAATTGACAATAATTGTATAAAGGAAAGTAGTAGAAAATCAGATATATTGATACAATTCAAAACTTCTTTGGAAGAAAAATTAAAACGTTGCAGAAAATTTGAAAAGAATTGTATGAGATAAAGTATTAGAAAATCAAATATTGATACAAAAAAATCGAGTGGAAATGGATGGAGAAAAAACACCTTGCTTACTATAGCCTCATAGCTAAGTTATAGTAGCAAATATTAAACAAGCTACTCAGACCTAATAAAAACATTACATCCGTTCTCACAGGCTGTTGGAAAAAAGTCAATATTAGCAAGGAAACAAAAAACATCTTCATTTTCTTAAATTCGAAGAAAATATATAGTACCTTGTGTACTTTTTGAAAAAAAAAACGAACACAAAATGAACTTAGCTTAAAAAGAAAAAATACTGAGTGTTTTGACTGCCCTTTAACTGGTCTTGAATTATTTTTGCTAAATGAAATATTGACAAAACTTGAAATTTAGGCTTATAATACCAACTTTTGAGTTTTAAAATTTGAGTATTATATCGAATGGATAAATCCAATTAGCTTGCAATTGTTCAAATTGGAGCGATTTGAAGTGCGGAAAAACTCGCCACTCGCAAAATTCGCGCTGGAGTTTCAGCAATAATTAAGCAGTTTCCATGAAATTATTTGAAGTTAATATAGTGGTTTGCGCACCCGGATAGACCCACAAAGACCCACAAAAACTTTTGATCCTCGACCATACAAGTTATTCACTTTCTTCAAAAGTTGGAACAACAAAGTTAAAATTTAAACTTTTTAACTTCCAATTTGTGTTTTCTCGAGTGATAATAAATTTGTGACAAAATGAAAATATTTATATGAGGGTGACTAGTAGAAAATCAGATATATTGATACAATTTGAAACTTTTTGGATGAAAAATTTAAGCAATACTATAAAATTCGAAAATATTTGTATAAAGGAAAGAAGTAGAAATTAAACAAAGAACCCGTTTAAATGAACTCATTTTAAGTTATTTTAGTAGTTTGCGCTCCCGGAAAAACCCACGAAGATCCATGGATCAATCACCCCGCGGGAAATATTTTTTGAGAATTGGTCTGAATAAAAAAACCACCCCGAGAATATACATACATGCCTCAATTTCTTCGAAAGTCGGAACAACTATGTTTCTAGTATATCAAGGCGAAGACCTGAATGTTCCGACAGCACATTGAGGCCAATTAAAAACTTTGTTTGGGCAAACATTTGGTGTAGAATAAAAAACAAATTCATAAGCAAAAGGTTATGTTTAAACCACTTCATAAGCAAAAAATTGAATTAAAAAAAAAGAAATAAAAAAAAACGTATTTGCCCTTTTTACTCTACAAGCGTCTCGTATTCTAGTAATAAAACCAAATGATCAATTGCCTCAATATAATTGGATCACATTAATACTCCGCTTACCAGTATGATATAAGAAAGCAAATTGTTTCGCGTTAATTATCCCAAGTTTTTCAAACTAGCAATTTTCAAAACCCCATAACTTTGCAAACATGATCACAAGTGAAATTTCACATCTACATTTGAGCTTCAGACAATTTCAAACCGCAGAAAATCAAATTTGAGCGTGAAAAAATTGTGAAACCATCCCGATCTTCCTGAAACCATCCCGATCTAAGTGTCTTCACTACGTTCCTTGACTCTTAAAAACGAGGTGAGTTTTGGTCAGCTCATAAGCATGCTCTAACATAGTGATATTTCCCAAATAGGCGCTTTTCTTCTCACCCTCTTAGGAAAACTGGCTTTCTCTGAAGCTAATAATTGTTTCACATTACCAAATGCCCAATTCTACTTAGGATTTTACTTTCGAAGACTTTTGAAACTAAACATTTGCTCTGAGTTAATAAAAAATGTCTACCTGAGGTGTTACAACACGCGAAAACGGATCTGCAGATCCAATTGTCATACCCAGGAAGTTTCAAATGTACTTAAGTGTCAATTATAGTGAATATCTCTATTTTTTTTCTGCCTGAAAACATTTTATTAAGTTAGTAACAAATCGTTCAGATTTAAAAATGAAAATTTAGTTGGATAAATTGGAATTGTGAATAAGGTTTCAGATTGACAGGGTTGTCTCAAGCTTCAATAGATTGCATGCAAAGTGTTGTCAAGAAAGAGTGACAGACTTGCTCATGATAGTTCATAGCGCAGACAATAAAAAACTCACCAATGAATGAGTGCGTGGATTTGTTCTCCGTATCCAGCATGGCTGTTGTGCGTAGGATGCCAGAGTTAGGGTCCAGAGAGAACAGGTTGTTGTCGTCCGGATTCACGGGTTGCAGTTCGAAAATAATAGTGTCGCCAATGTCGGCATCCCGAACTTCGATCTAAAATAAAAAAAAGAACACTTTAGCTAGCCAATTGAAAAACTTATCCGAGACGCAACTGTAAGTCAAGACGTATGGTATATAATCTCAGTTAGTATATAAGTAGATATAGGCTATCATCATCGGTTCACTTCAATCGAAAATTAGGTGATCACTTCAAGTATAAGAGAAGAAACAGGCCTTCATCTTTGATAAAAAGCGGAAAATATTATCCCGCGATATCGTACGGGCGGCCTACATGAAATTCTCGCCCATATTTCAAGCAAGAGCTCGATTGACTATTGTTGGCAAAAAGATGAAGCTATCGAGTAACAACGATAGCCTATTCTATTTTTTTTAAAAATTATTATTAGAAAAAATGAAAAAAGACTAACACAAAAAAACTTCTATTAGAACCAACGGAGGATTTAGGAGCAGGAGGGGAGGTGGACGCTTTCTCCTGAGAGATTCGACCTCTTCACCAACCAAAGCAACCACCCCTTTGGCATTTTTATGACATCCCGATCAGCCCTAAAAGTTTTGAGACATCCATTTTTGGCCGACTGACCCTAAATTTTTTAAAAGGCGACAAAATATACGAATTTTGAGTGGGGAGTGCGCGCCGAAAAACACAATTTTTTAGCCAAAATTTTCCAAAAAGTGCTTAAAAACGCCTTTGATTTGAGTTACTTCACCAGCTACAAGTACAACGCCGAAAGCAATATATTATATATAGCTTCTCAAAGAATAGTTTTGGTTTTTTCTGATGTGACACTCAGAATATTTGTCAGGAAAAATCCAAGTTTGAAAGTTCTGAGATTCATCTCTTCGATCGTAAACCTTCTCAGCATCGTTGGTGTAGTGGTAGCATAGCAGCCTTCCAAGCTGTTGACATGGGTTCGATTCCCGTACGATGCATAAATTCAGACGTGCGGTAAAAGAATATTTAATTTCAGGGAAAGATTGAGCATTACTATTGTGTGCATTAGAGGGACAAAATATCATGAAATAGTAAATTCTTGTCGTTTTTTAAATTCCCATTGACCTTGAGAACTAACAAACCAGAAACAACAACAGCTTTCGATGAATGAGAACAAATTGGTCTGGTTAGCGAAAAATTTACTCCGCTTCTCAAAGAATTTTTTTGGTTTTTTCTTGCTGTGACACTTAGAAAATGTGTAAGAAAAAATCCATGTTTGAAAGTTCTGAAAATCATCTCTTCGATCGTAAACCTTTTCAGCATCGTTGGTGTAGTGGTAGCATAGCAGCCTTCCAAGCTGTTGACATGGGATCGGTTCCCGTACGATGCATAAACTCAGAAGGGCGGTAAAAGAAAATTTAATTTCAGGGAAAGACTGAACATTACTATGGTGTGCGTTAGAGGGACAAAATACTCATGAAATAGTAAATTCTTGTCTCTTTTTGAATTCCCAAAGTCCTTGAGAAGTAACAAACCAGAAACGACAGCTTTCGATTAATGAGAAACAAAGGAGTCTGGTTAGCGAAAAAACTATCAGCTTCTCAAAGAATAGTTTTGGTTTTTTCTGATGTGACACTAAGAATATTTGTCAGGAAAAATCCCAGTTTGAAAGTTCTGAGATTCATCTCTTCGATCGTAAACCTTCTCAGAATCGTTGGTGTAGTGGTAGCATAGCAGCCTTCCAAGCTGTTGACATGGGTTCGATTCCCGTACGATGCATAAACTCAGACGGGCGGTAAAAGAATATTTAATTTCAGGGAAAGATTGAGCATTACTATAGTGTGCGTTAGAGGGTCAAAATATCAGGAAATAGTAAATTCTTGTCGTTTTTTTAATTCCCATTGACCTTGAGAACTAACAAACCAGAAACAACAACAGCTTTCGATGAATGAGAACAAATTGGTCTGGTTAGCGAAAAAATTACTCTGCTTCTCAAAGAATTTTTTTGGTTTTTTCTTGCTGTGACACTTAGAAAATGTGTAAGAAAAAATCCCTGTTTGAAAGTTCTGAAATTCATCTCTTCGATCGTAAACCTTTTCAGCATCGTTGGTGTAGTGGTAGCATAGCAGCCTTCCAAGCTGTTGACATGGGTTCGATTCCCGTACGATGCATAAACTCAGAAGGGCGGTAAAAGAATATTTATTTTCAGGGAAAGACTGAACATTACTATGGTGTGCGTTAGAGGGACAAAATATCATGCAATAGTAAATTCTTGTCGTTTTTTAAATTCCCATTGACCTTTAGAAGTAACAAACCAGAAACGACAGCTTTCGATTAATGAGAAAAAATTGGTCTGGTTAGCGAAAAATTTATTCCTTTTTCTCACAGAATTTTTTTGGTTTTTTCTTGCTGTGACACTTAGAAAATGTGTAAGGAAAAATCCATGATTGAAAGTTCTGAAATTCATCTCTTCGATCGTAAATCTTTTCAGCATCGTTGGTGTAGTGGTAGCATAGCAGCCTTCCAAGCTGTTGACATGGGTTCGATTCCTGTACGATGCATAAACTCAGAAGGGCGGTAAAAGAATATTTAATTTCAGGGAAAGATTGAACATTACTATGGTGTGCGTTAGGGGGATAAAATACTCATGAAATAGTAAATTCTTGTCTCTTTTTGAAATCCCAAAGTCCTTGAGAAGTAACAAACCAGAAACGACAGCTTTCGATTAATGAGAAACAAAGGAGTCTGGTTAGCGAAAAAACTATCAGCTTCTCAAAGAATAGTTTTGGTTTTTTCTGATGTGACACTCAGAATATTTGTCAGGAAAAATCCCAGTTTGAAAGTTCTGAGATACATCTCTTCGATCGTAAACCTTCTCAGCAGCGTTGGTGTAGTGGTAGCATAGCAGCCTTCCAAGCCGTTGACATGGGTTCGAATCCCGTACGATGCATAAACTCAGACGGGCGGTAAAAGAATATTTAATTTCAGGTAAAGATTGAGCATTACTATTGTGTGCGTTAGAGGGACAAAATATCATGAAATAGTAAATTCTTGTCATTTTTTAAATTCCCATTGCCCTTGAGAAGTAACAAACCAGAAACGACAGCTTTCGATTAATGAGAAACAAAGGAGTCTGGTTAGCGAAAAAAATATCAGCTTCTCAAAGAATAGTTTTGTTTTTTTCTGATGTGACACTCAGAATATTTGTCAGGAAAAATCCAAGTTTGAAAGTTCTGAGATTCATCTCTTCGATCGTAAACCTTCTCAGCACCGTTGGTGTTGTGGTAGCGTAGCAGCCTTCCAAGCTGTTGACATGGGTTCGATTCCCGTACGATGCATAAACTCAGACGGGCAGTAAAAGAATATTTAATTTCAGGGAAAGATTGAGCAATACTATTGTGTGCGTTAGAGGGACAAAATATCATGAAATAGTAAATTCTTGTCGTTTTTTAAATTCCCATTGACCTTGAGAACTAACAAACCAGAAACAACAACAGCTTTCAATGAATGAGAACAAATTGGTCTGGTTAGCGAAAAATTTACTCAACTTCTCAAAGAATTTTTTTGGTTTTTTCTTGATGTAACATTCAGAAAATGTGTAAGGAAAAATCCTTGTTTGAAAGTTCTGAAAATCATCTATTCGATCGTAAACCTTTTCAGCATCGTTGATGTAGTGATAGCATAGCAGCCTTCCAAGCTGTTGACATGGGTTCGATTCCCGTACGATCCATAAACTCAGACGGGCGGTAAAAGAGTATTTGTTTTTAGGGAAAGATTGAACTTTACTATTGTGTGTGTTAGAGGGACAAAATATTCATAAAATAGTAAATTCTTGTCGTTTTTTGAATTCCCATTGACCTTGAGAAGTAACAAACCAGAAACAACAACAGCTTTCGATTAATGAGAACAAATTAGTCTGGTTAGCGAAAAATTTATTCCGCTTCTCAAAGAATTATTTTGGTTTTTTCTTGATGTAACATTCAGAAAATGTGTAAGGAAAAATCCATGTTTGAAAGTTCTGAAAATCATCTCTTCGATCGTAAACCTTTTCAGCATCGTTGATGTAGTGATAGCAGCCTTCCAAGCTGTTGACATGGGTTCGATTCCCGTACGACGCATAAACTCAGACGGGCGGTAAAAGATCAATTGTTTTTAGGGAAAGATTGAACTTTACTATTGTATGTGTTAGAGGGACAAAATATTCATAAAATAGTAAATTCTTGTCGTTTTTTGAATTTCCATTGACCTTGAGAAGTAACAAACCAGAAACAACAACAGCTTTCGATTAATGAGAACAAATTAGTCTGGTTAGCGAAAAATTTATTCCGCTTCTCAAAGAATTATTTTGGTTTTTTCTTGATGTAACATTCAGAAAATGTGTAAGGAAAAATCCATGTTTGAAAGTTCTGAAAATCATCTCTTCGATCGTAAACCTTTTCAGCATCGTTGATGTAGTGATAGCAGCCTTCCAAGCTGTTGACATGGGTTCGATTCCCGTACGATGCATAAACTCGGACGGGCGGTAAAAGATCAATTGTTTTTAGGGAAAGATTGAACTTTACTATTGTATGTGTTAGAGGGACAAAATATTCATAAAATAGTAAATTCTTGTCGTTTTTTGAATTCCCATTGACCTTGAGAAGTAACAAACCAGAAACAACAACAGCTTTCGATTAATGAGAACAAATTAGTCTGGTTAGCGAAAAATTTATTCCGCTTCTCAAAGAACTATTTTGGTTTTTTCTTGATGTAACATTCAGAAAATGTGTAAGGAAAAATCCATGTTTGAAAGTTCTGAAAATCATCTCTTCGATCGTAAACCTTTTCAGCATCGTTGATGTAGTGATTCTTCCAAGCTGTTGACATGGGTTCGATTCCCGTACGATGCATAAACTCAGACGGGCGGTAAAAGATCAATTGTTTTTAGGGAAAGATTGAACTTTACTATTGTATGTGTTAGAGGGACAAAATATTCATAAAATAGTAAATTCTTGTCGTTTTTTGAATTCCCATTGACCTTGAGAAGTAACAAACCAGAAACAACAACAGCTTTCGATTAATGAGAACAAATTAGTCTGGTTAGCGAAAAATTTATTCCGCTTCTCAAAGAATAGTTTTTTTTTTTCTGATGTGACACTCAGAATATTTGTCAGGAAAAATCCAAGTTTGAAAGTTCTGAGATTCATCTCTTCGATCGTAAACCTTCTCAGCACCGTTGGTGTTGTGGTAGCGTAGCAGCCTTCCAAGCTGTTGACATGGGTTCGATTCCTGTACGATGCATAATTTCAGACGGGCAGTAAAAGAATATTTAATTTCAGGGAAAGATTGAGCATTACTATTGTGTGCGTTAGAGGGACAAAATATCATGAAATAGTAAATTCTTGTCGTTTTTTAAATTCCCATTGACCTTGAGAACTAACAAACCAGAAACAACAACAGCTTTCAATGAATGAGAACAAATTGGTCTGGTTAGCGAAAAATTTACTCAACTTCTCAAAGAATTTTTTTGGTTTTTTCTTGATGTAACATTCAGAAAATGTGTAAGGAAAAATCCTTGTTTGAAAGTTCTGAAAATCATCTATTCGATCGTAAACCTTTTCAGCATCGTTGATGTAGTGATAGCATAGCAGCCTTCCAAGCTGTTGACATGGGTTCGATTCCCGTACGATCCATAAACTCAGACGGGCGGTAAAAGAGTATTTGTTTTTAGGGAAAGATTGAACTTTACTATTGTGTGTGTTAGAGGGACAAAATATTCATAAAATAGTAAATTCTTGTCGTTTTTTGAATTCCCATTGACCTTGAGAAGTAACAAACCAGAAACAAAAACAGCTTTCGATTAATGAGAACAAATTAGTCTGGTTAGCGAAAAATTTATTCCGCTTCTCAAAGAATTATTTTGGTTTTTTCTTGATGTAACATTCAGAAAATGTGTAAGGAAAAATCCATGTTTGAAAGTTCTGAAAATCATCTCTTCGATCGTAAACCTTTTCAGCATCGTTGATGTAGTGATAGCAGCCTTCCAAGCTGTTGACATGGGTTCGATTCCCGTACGATGCATAAACTCAGACGGGCGGTAAAAGATCAATTGTTTTTAGGGAAAGATTGAACTTTACTATTGTATGTGTTAGAGGGACAAAATATTCATAAAATAGTAAATTCTTGTCGTTTTTTGAATTCCCATTGACCTTGAGAAGTAACAAACCAGAAACAACAACAGCTTTCGATTAATGAGAACAAATTAGTCTGGTTAGCGAAAAATTGATTCCGCTTCTCAAAGAATTATTTTGGTTTTTTCTTGATGTAACATTCAGAAAATGTGTAAGGAAAAATCCATGATTGAAAAATCTGAAATTCATCTCTTCGATCGTAAACCTTTTCAGCATCGTTGGTGTAGTGGTAGCATAGCAGCCTTCCAAGCTGTTGACATGGGTTCAATTCCCGTACGATGCATAAACTCAGAAGGGCGGTAAAAGAATATTTAATTTCAGGGAAAGATTGAACATTACTATAGTGTGCGTTAGAGGGACAAAATATCAGGAAATAGTAAATTCTTGTCGTTTTTAAATTCCCATTGACCTTGAGAACTAACAAACCAGAAACAACAACAGCTTTCGATTAATGAGAACAAATTAGTCTGGTTAGCGAAAAATTGATTCCGCTTCTCAAAGAATTATTTTGGTTTTTTCTTGATGTAACATTCAGAAAATGTGTAAGGAAAAATCCATGTTTGAAAGTTCTGAAATTCATCTTTTCGGTCGTAAACATTTTCAGCATCGTTGTTGTAGTGGTATCATAGCAGCCTTCCAAGCTGTTGACATGGGTTCGATTCCCGTACGATGCATAAATTCAGACGGGCAGTAAAAGAATATTTAATTTCAGGGAAAGATTGAGCATTACTATTGTGTGCGTTAGAGGGACAAAATATCATGAAATAGTAAATTCTTGTCGTTTTTTAAATTCCCATTGACCTTGAGAACTAACAAACCAGAAATAACAACAGCTTTCAATGAATGAGAACAAATTGGTCTGGTTAGCGAAAATTTTATTCCGCTTCTCAAAGAATTATTTTGGTTTTTTCTTGATGTAACATTCAGAAAATGTGTAAGGAAAAATCCTTGTTTGAAAGTTCTGAAAATCATCTCTTCGATCGTAAGCCTTTTCAGCATCGTTGATGTAGTGATAGCATAGCAGCCTTCCAAGCTGTTGACATGGGTTCGATTCCCGTACGATGCATAAACTCAGACGGGCGGTAAAAGAGTATTTGTTTTTAGGGAAAGATTGAACTTTACTATTGTGTGTTAGAGGGACAAAATAATCATAAAATAGTATATTCTTGTCGTTTTTTGAATTCCCATTGACCTTGAGAAGTAACAAACCAGAAACAACAACAGCTTTCGATTAATGAGAACAAATTAGTCTGGTTAGCGAAAATTTTATTCCGCTTCTCAAAGAATTATTTTGGTTTTTTCTTGATGTAACATTCAGAAAATGTGTAAGGAAAAATCCTTGTTTGAAAGTTCTGAAAATCATCTCTTCGATCGTAAACCTTTTCAGCATCGTTGATGTAGTGATAGCATAGCAGCCTTCCAAGCTGTTGACATGGGTACGATTCCCGTACGATGCATAAACTCAGACGGGCGGTAAAAGAGTATTTGTTTTTAGGGAAAGATTGAACTTTACTATTGTCTGTGTTAGAGGGACAAAATATTCATAAAATAGTAAATTCTTGTCGTTTTTTGAATTCCCATTGACCTTGAGAAGTAACAAACCAGAAACAACAACAGCTTACGATTAATGAGAACAAATTAGTCTGGTTAGCGAAAAATTTATTCCGCTTCTCAAAGAAATTTTGGTTTTTTCTTGCTGTGACACTTAGAAAATGTGTAAGAAAAAATCCATGTTTGAAAGTTCTGAAATTCATCTCTTCGATCGTAACCCTTTTCAGCAGCGTTGATGTAGTGGTAGCATAGCAACCTTCCAAGCTGTTGACATGGGTTCGATTCCCGTACGATGCATAAACTCAGAAGGGCGGTAAAAGAATATTTAATTTCAGGGAAAGACTGAACATTACTATGGTGTGCGTTAGAGGGACAAAATACTCATGAAATAGTATATTCTTGTCTGTTTTTGAATTCCCAAAGTCCTTGAGAAGTAACAAACCAGAAACGACAGCTTTCGATTAATGAGAAACAAAGGAGTCTGGTTAGCGAAAAAACTATCAGCTTCTCAAAGAATAGTTTTGGTTTTTTCTGATGTGACACTCAGAATATTTGTCAGGAAAAATCCCAGTTTGAAAGTTCTGAGATTCATCTCTTCGATCGTAAACCTTCTTAGCATCGTTGGTGTAGTGGTAGCATAGCAGCCTTCCAAGCTGTTGACATGGGTTCGATTCCCGTACGATGCATAATTTCAGACGGGCGGTAAAAGAATATTTAATTTCAGGGAAAGATTGAGCATTACTATTGTGTGCGTTAGAGGGACAAAATATCATGAAATAGTACATTCTTGTCGTTTTTTAAATTCCCATTGACCTTTAGAAGTAACAAACCAGAAACGACAGCTTTCGATTAATGAGAACAAATTGGTGTGGTTAGCGAAAAATTTATTCCTTTTTCTCACAGAATTTTTTTGGTTTTTTCTTGCTGTGACACTTAGAAAATGTGTAAGGAAAAATCCATGATTGAAAGTTCTGAAATTCATCTCTTCGATCGTAAACCTTTTCAGCATCGTTGGTGTAGTGGTAGCATAGCAGCCATCCAAGCTGTTGACATGGGTTCGATTCCCGTAGGATGCATAAACTCAGACGGGCGGTAAAAGAATATTTAATTTCAGGGAAACGTTGAGCATTACTATTGTGTGCGTTAGAGGGACAAAATGTTCATGAAATAGTAAATTCTTGTCTCTTTTTGAATTCCCAAAGTCCTTGAGAAGTAACAAACCAGAAACGACAGCTTTCGATTAATGAGAAACAAAGGAGTCTGGTTAGCGAAAAAACTATCAGCTTCTCAAAGAATAGTTTTGGTTTTTTCTGATGTGACACTCAGAATATTTGTCAGGAAAAATCCAAATTTGAAAGTTCTGAGATTCATCTCTTCGATCGTAAACCTTCTCAGCACCGTTGGTGTTGTGGTAGCATAGCAGCCTTCCAAGCTGTTGACATGGGCTCGATTCCCGTACGATGCATAAACTCAGACGGGCAGTAAAAGAATATTTAATTTCAGGGAAAGATTGAGCATTACTATTGTGTGCGTTAGAGGGACAAAATATCATGAAATAGTAAATTCTTGTCGTTTTTTAAATTCCCATTGACCTTGAGAATTAACAAACTAGAAACAACAACAGCTTTCAATGAATGAGAACAAATTGGTCTGGTTAGCGAAAAATTTACTCAACTTCTCAAAGAATTTTTTTGGTTTTTTCTTGATGTAACATTCAGAAAATGTGTAAGGAAAAATCCTTGTTTGAAAGTTCTGAAAATCATCTCTTCGATCGTAAACCTTTTCAGCATCGTTGATGTAGTGATAGCATAGCAGCCTTCCAAGCTGTTGACAAGGGTTCGATTCCCGTACGATGCATAAACTCAGACGGGCGGTAAAAAAGTATTTGTTTTTAGGGAAAGATTGAACTTTACTATTGTGTGTGTTAGAGGGACAAAATATTCATAAAAAAGTAAATTCTTGTCGTTTTTTGAATTCCCATTGACATTGAGAAGTAACAAACCAGAAACAACAACAGCTTTCGATTAATGAGAACAAATTAGTCTGGTTAGCGAAAAATTTATTCCGCTTCTCAAAGAATTATTTTGGTTTTTTCTTGATGTAACATTCAGAAAATGTGTAAGGAAAAATCCATGTTTGAAAGTTCTGAAATTCATCTCTTCGATCGTAAACATTTTCAGCATCGTTGGTGTAGTGGTAGCATAGCAGCCTTCCAAGCTGTTGACATGGGTTCGATTCCCGTACGATGCATAAACTCAGACGGGCAGTAAAAGAATATTTAATTTCAGGGAAAGATTGAGCATTACTATTGTGTGCGTCAGAGGTACAAAATATCATGAAATAGTAAATTTTTGTCGTTTTTTAAATTCCCATTGACCTTGAGAACTAACAAACCAGAAACAACAACAGCTTTCGATGAATGAGAACAAATTGGTCTGGTTAGCGAAAAATTTACTCCGCTTCTCAAAGAATTTCTTTGGTTTTTTCTTGCTGTGACACTTAGAAAATGTTTAAGGAAAAATCCATGTTTGAAAGTTCTGAAATTCATCTCTTCGATCGTAAACCTTTTCCGCATCGTTGGTGTAGTGGTAGCATAGCAGCCTTCCAAGCTGTTGACATGGGTTCGATTCCCGTACGATGCATAAACTCAGACGCGCGGTAAAAGAACATTTAATTTCAGGGAAAGATTGAGCAATACTATTGTGTGCGTCAGAGGGACAAAATATCATGAAATAGTAAATTCTTGTCGTTTTTTAAATTCCCATTGACCTTGAGAACTAACAAACCAGAAACAACAACAGCTTCCGATAAATGAGAACAAATTGGTCTGGTTAGCGAAAAATTTACTCCGCTTCTCAAAGAATTTCTTTGGTTTTTTCTTGCTGTGACACTTAGAAAATGTGTAAGGAAAAATCCATGTTTGAAAGTTCTGAAATTCATCTCTTCGATCGTAAACCTTTTCCGCATCATTGGTGTAGTGGTAGCATAGCAGCCTTCCAAGCTGTTGACATGGGTTCGATTCCCGTACGATGCATAAACTCAGACGGGCGGTAAAAGAATATTTAATTTCAGGGAAAGATTGAGCATTACTATTGTGTGCGTTAGAGGGACAAAATATCATGAAATAGTAAATACCTTGTCGTTTTTTAAATTCCCATTGACCTTGAGAACTAACAAACCAGAAACAACAACAGCTTTCGATGAATGAGAACAAATTGGTCTGGTTAGCGAAAAATTTACTCCGCTTCTCAAAGAATTATTTTGGTTTTTTCTTGATGTAAGTAACATTCAGAAAATGTGTAAGGAAAAATCCATGTTTGAAAGTTCTGAAATTCATCTCTTCGATCGTAAACATTTTCAGCATCGTTGGTATAGTGGTAGCATAGCAGCCTTCCAAGCTGTTGACATGGGTTCGATTCCCGTGAGATGCATAAACTCAGACGGGCAGTAAAAGAATATTTAATTTCAGGGAAATATTGAGCATTACTATTGTGTGCGTCAGAGGTTCAAAATATTAGAAATAGCAAAATTCTTGTCGTTTTTTAAATTCCCATTGACCTTGAGAACTAACAAACCAGAAACAACAACAGCTTTCGATGAATGAGAACAAATTGGTCTGGTTAGCGAAAAATTTACTCCGCTTCTCAAAGAATTTCGTTGGTTTTTTCTTGCTGTGACACTTAGAAAATGTGTAAGGAAAAATCCATGTTTGAAAGTTCTGAAATTCATCTCTTCGATCGCAAACCTTTTCCGCATCATTGGTGTAGTGGTAGCATAGCAGCCTTCCAAGCTGTTGACATGGGTTCGATTCCCGTACGATGCATAAACTCAGACGGGCGGTAAAAGAATAATTAATTTCAGGGAAAGATTGAGCATTACTATTGTGTGCGTTAGAGGGACAAAATATCATGAAATAGTAAATTCTTGTCGTTTTTTAAATTCCCATTGACCTTGAGAACTAACAAACCAGAAACAACAACAGCTTTCGATGAATGAGAACAAATTGGTCTGGTTAGCGAAACATTTACTCCGCTTCTCAATGAATTATTTTGGTTTTTTCTTGATGTAAGTAACATTCAGAAAATGTGTAAGGAAAAATCCATGTTTGAAAGTTCTGAAATTCATCTCTTCGATCGTAAACATTTTCAGCATCGTTGGTATAGTGGTAGCATAGCAGCCTTCCAAGCTGTTGACATGGGTTCGATTCCCGTGAGATGCATAAACTCAGACGGGCAGTAAAAGAATATTTAATTTCAGGGAAAGATTGAGCATTACTATTGTGTGCGTCAGAGGTTCAAAATATCATGAAATAGTAAATTCTTGTCGTTTTTTAAATTCCCATTGACCTTGAGAACTAACAAACCAGAAACAACAACAGCTTTCGATGAATGAGAACAAATTGGTCTGGTTAGCGAAAAATTTACTCCGCTTCTCAAAGAATTTCTTTGGTTTTTTCTTGCTGTGACACTTAGAAAATGTGTAAGGAAAAATCCATGTTTGAAAGTTCTGAAATTCATCTCCTCGATCGTAAACCTTTTCCGCATCGTTGGTGTAGTGGTAGCATAGCAGCCTTCCAAGCTGTTGACATGGGTTCGATTCACGTACGATGCATAAACTCAGACGCGCGGTAAAAGAACATTTAATTTCAGGGAAAGCTTGAGCAATACTATTGTGTGCGTCAGAGGGACAAAATATCATGAAATAGTAAATTCTTGTCGTTTTTTAAATTCCCATTGACCTTGAGAACTAACAAACCAGAAACAACAACAACTTTCGATGAATGAGAACAAATTGGTCTGGTTAGCGAAAAATTTACTCCGCTTCTCAAATAATTTCTTTGGTTTTTTCTTGCTGTGACACTTAGAAAATGTGTAAGGAAAAATCCATGTTTGAAAGTTCTGAAATTCATCTCTTCGATCGTAAACCTTTTCCGCATCGTTGGTGTATTGGTAGCATAGCAGCCTTCCAAGCTGCTGACATGGGTTCGATTCCCGTACGATGCATAAACTCAGACGGGCGGTAAAAGAGTATTTGTTTTCAGGGAAAGATTGAACTTTACTATTGTGTGTGTTAGAGGGACAAAATATTCATGAAATAGTAAATTCTTGTCGTTTTTTGAATTCGCATTGACCTTGAGAAGTAACAAACCAGAAACAACAACAGCTTTCGATTAATGAGAACAAATTAGTCTGGTTAGCGAAAAATTTACTCCGCTTCTCAAAGAACTAATTTGGTTTTTTCTTGATGTAACATTCAAAAAATGTGTAAGGAAAAATCCATGTTTGAAAGTTCTGAAATTCATCTCTTCGATCGTAAACATTTTCAGCATCGTTGGTGTAGTGGTAGCATAGCAGCCTTCCAAGCTGTTGACATGGGTTCGATTCCCGTACGATGCATAAACTCAGACGGGCAGTAAAAGAATATTTAATTTCAGGGAAAGATTGAGCATTACTATTGTGTGCGTCAGAGGTACAAAATATCATGAAATAGTAAATTCTTGTCGTTTTTTAAATTCCCATTGACCTTGAGAACTAACAAACCAGAAACAACAACAGCTTTCGATGAATGAGAACAAATTGGTCTGGTGAGCGAAAAATTTACTCCGCTTCTCAAAGAATTTCTATGGTTTTTTCTTGCTGTGACACTTAGAAAATGTGTAAGGAAAAATCCATGTTTGAAAGTTCTGAAATTCATCTCTTCGATCGTAAACCTTTTCAGCATCGTTGGTGTAGTGGTAGCATAGCAGCCTTCCAAGCTGTTGTTGACATGTGTTCGATTCCCGTACGATGCATAAACTCAGACGCGCGGTAAAAGAACATTTAATTTCAGGGAAAGATTGAGCAATACTATTGTGTGCGTCAGAGGGACAAAATATCATGAAACAGTAAATTCTTGTCGTTTTTAAAATTCCCATTGACCTTGAGAAGTAACAAACCAGAAACAACAACAGTTTTCGATTAATGAGAACAAATTAGTCTGGTTAGCCAAAAATTTATTCCGCTTCTCAAAGAATTATTTTGGTTTTTTCTTGATGTAACATTCAGAAAATGTGTAAGGAAAAATCCATGTTTGAAAGTTCTGAAATTCATCTCTTCGATCGTAAACATTTTCAGCATCGTTGGTGTAGTGGTAGCATAGCAGCCTTCCAAGCTGTTGACATGGGTTCGATTCCCGTACGATGCATAAACTCAGACGGGCAGTAAAAGAATATTTAATTTCAGGGAAAGATTGAGCATTACTATTGTGTGCGACAGAGGTACAAAATATCATGAAATAGTAAATTCTTGTCGTTTTTTAAATTCCCATTGACCTTGAGAACTAACAAACCAGAAACAACAACAGCTTTCGATGAATGAGAACAAATTGGTCTGGTGAGCGAAAAATTTACTCCGCTTCTCAAAGAATTTCTATGGTTTTTTCTTGCTGTGACACTTAGAAAATGTGTACGGAAAAATCCATGTTTGAAAGTTCTGAAATTCATCTCTTCGATCGTAAACCTTTTCAGCATCGTTGGTGTAGTGGTAGCATAGCAGCCTTCCAAGCTGTTGTTGACATGTGTTCGATTCCCGTACGATGCATAAACTCAGACGCGCGGTAAAAGAACATTTAATTTCAGGGAAAGATTGAGCAATACTATTGTGTGCGTCAGAGGGACAAAATATCATGAAATAGTAAATTCTTGTCGTTTTTAAAATTCCCATTGACCTTGAGAAGTAACAAACCAGAAACCACAACAGCTTTCGATTAATGAGAACAAATTAGTCTGGTTAGCGAAAAATTTATTCCGCTTCTCAAAGAATTATTTTGGTTTTTTCTTGATGTAACATTCAGAAAATGTGTAAGGAAAAATCCATGTTTGAAAATTCTGAAATTCATCTCTTCGATCGTAAACATTTTCAGCATCGTTGGTGTAGTGGTAGCATAGCAGGCATCCAAGCTGTTGACATGGGTTCGATTCCCGTACGATGCGTAAACTCAGGGGCGGTAAAAGAGTATTTGTTTTCAGGGAAAGATTGAACTTTACTATTGTGTGTGTTAGAGGGACAAAATATTCATGAAATAGTAAATTCTTGTCATTTTTTGAATTCCTATTGACCTTGAGAAGTAACAAACCAGAAACAACAACAGCTTTCGATTAATGAGAACAAATTAGTCTGGTTAGCGAAAAATTTATTCCGCTTCTCAAAGAATTATTTTTGTTTTTTCTTGATGTAAGTAACATTCAGAAAATGTGTAAGCAAAAATCCATGTTTGAAAGTTCTGAAATTCATCTCTTCGATCGTAAACATTTTCAGCATCGTTGGTATAGTGGTAGCCTAGCAGCCTTCCAAGCTGTTGACATGGGTTCGATTCCCGTACCATGCATAAACTCGGGCGGTAAAAGAATATTTGTTTTCAGGGAAAGATTGAACTTTACTATTGTGTGTGTTAGAGGGACAAAATATTCATGAAATAGTAAATTCTTGTCGTTTTTTGAATTCCCATTGACCTTGAGAAGTAACAAACCAGAAACAACAACAGCTTTCGATTAATGAGAACAAATTAGTCTGGTTAGCGAAAAATTTATTCCGCTTCTCAATGAATTATTTTGGTTTTTTCTTGATGTAAGTAACATTCAGAAATTGTGTAAGGAAAAATCTATGTTTGAAAGTTCTGAAATTCATCTCTTCGATCGTAAACATTTTCAGCATCGTTGGTATAGTGGTAGCATAGCAGCCTTCCAAGCTGTTGACATGGGTTCGATTCCCGTACGATGCATAAACTCAGACGGGCAGTAAAAGAATATTTAATTTCAGGGAAAGATTGAGCATTACTATTGTGTGCGTCAGAGGTTCAAAATATCATGAAATAGTAAATTCTTGTCGTTTTTTAAATTCCCATTGACCTTGAGAACTAACAAACCAGAAACAACAACAGCTTTCGATGAATAAGAACAAATTGGTCTGGTTAGCGAAAATATTACTCCGCTTCTCAAAAAATTTCTATGGTTTTTTCTTGCTGTGACACTTAGAAAATGTGTAAGGAAAAATCCATGTTTGAAAGTTCTGAAATTCATCTCTTCGATCGTAAATCTTTTCAGCATCGTTGGTGTAGTGGTAGCATAGCAGCCTTCCAAGCTGTTGACATGGGTTCGATTCCCGTACGATGCATAAACTCAGACGCGCGGTAAAAGAACATTTAATTTCAGGGAAAGATTGAGCAATACTATTGTGTGCGTCAGAGGGACAAAATATCATGAAATAGTAAATTCTTGTCGTTTTTTAAATTCCCATTGACCTTGAGAAGTAACAAACCAGAAACAACAACAGCTTTCGATTAATGAGAACAAATTAGTCTGGTTAGCGAAAAATTTATTCCGCTTCTCAAAGAATTATTTTGGTTTTTTCTTGATGTAACATTCAGAAAATGTGTAAGGAAAAATCCATGTTTGAAAGTTCTGAAATTCATCTCTTCGATCATAAACATTTTCAGCATCGTTGGTGTAGTGGTAGCATAGCAGCCATCCAAGCTGTTGACATGGGTTCGATTCCCGTACGATGCATAAACTCAGACGGGCGGTAAAAGAGTATTTGTTTTCAGGGAAAGATTGAACTTTACTGTTGTGTGTGTTAGAGGGACAAAATATTCATGAAATAGTAAATTCTTGTCGTTTTTTGAATTCCCATTGACCTTGAGAAGTAACAAACCAGAAACAACAACAGCTTTCGATTAATGAGAACAAATTAGTCTGGTTAGCGAAAAATTTATTCCGCTTCTCAATGAATTATTTTGGTTTTTTCTTGATGTAAGTAACATTCAGAAAATGTGTAAGGAAAAATCCATGTTTGAAAGTTCTGAAATTCATCTCTTCGATCGTAAACATTTTCAGCATCGCTGGTATAGTGGTAGCATAGCAGCCTTCCAAGCTGTTGACATGGGTTCGATTCCCGTCCGATGCATAAACTCAGACGGGCAGTAAAAGAATATTTAATTTCAGGGAAAGATTGAGCATTACTATTGTGTGCGTCAGAGGTTCAAAATATCATGAAATAGTAAATTCTTGTCGTTTTTTAAATTCCCATTGACCTTGAGAACTAACAAACCAGAAACAACAACAGCTTTCGATGAATGAGAACAAATTGGTCTGGTTAGCGAAAAATTTACTCCGCTTCTCAAAGAATTTCTATGGTTTTTTCTTGCTGTGACACTTAGAAAATGTGTAAGGAAAAATCCATGTTTGAAAGTTCTGAAATTCATCTCTTCGATCGTAAACCTTTTCAGCATCGTTGGTGTAGTGGTAGCATAGCAGCCTTCCAAGCTGTTGACATGGGTTCGATTCCCGTACGATGCATAAACTCAGACGCGCGGTAAAAGAACATTTAATTTCAGGGAAAGATTGAGCAATACTATTGTGTGCGTCAGAGGGACAAAATATCATGAAATAGTAAATTCTTGTCGTTTTTTAAATTCCCATTGACCTTGAGAAGTAACAAACCAGAAACAACAACAGCTTTCGATTAATGAGAACAAATTAGTCTGGTTAGCGAAAAATTTATTCCGCTTCTCAAAGAATTATTTTGGTTTTTTCTTGATGTAACATTCAGAAAATGTGTAAGGAAAAATCCATGTTTGAAAGTTCTGAAATTCATCTCTTCGATCGTAAACATTTTCAGCATCGTTGGTGTAGTGGTAGCATAGCAGCCATCCAAGCTGTTGACATGGGTTCGATTCCCGTACGATGCATAAACTCAGACAGGCGGTAAAAGAGTATTTGTTTTCAGGGAAAGATTGAACTTTACTATTGTGTGTGTTAGAGGGACAAAATATTCATGAAATAGTAAATTCTTGTCGTTTTTTGAATTCCCATTGACCTTGAGAAGTAACAAACCAGAAACAACAACAGCTTTCGATTAATGAGAACAAATTAGTCTGGTTAGCGAAAAATTTATTCCGCTTCTCAATGAATTATTTTGGTTTTTTCTTGATGTAAGTAACATTCAGAAAATGTGTAAGGAAAAATCCATGTTTGAAAGTTCTGAAATTCATCTCTTCGATCGTAAACATTTTCAGCATCGTTGGTATAGTGGTAGCATAGCAGCCTTCCAAGCTGTTGACATGGGTTCGATTCCCGTACGATGCATAAACTCAGACGGGCAGTAAAAGAATATTTAATTTCAGGGAAAGATTGAGCATTACTATTGTGTGCGTCAGAGGTTCAAAATATCATGAAGTAGTAAATTCTTGTCGTTTTTTAAATTCCCATTGACCTTGAGAACTAACAAACCAGAAACAACAACAGCTTTCGATGAATGAGAACAAATTGGTCTGGTTAGCGAAAAATTTACTCCGCTTCTCAATGAATTATTTTGGTTTTTTCTTGATGTAAGTAACATTCAGAAAATGTGTAAGGAAAAATCCATGTTTGAAAGTTCTGAAATTCATCTCTTCGATCGTAAACATTTGCAGCATCGTTGGTGTAGTGGTAGCATAGCAGCCATCCAAGCTGTTGACATGGGTTCGATTCCCGTACGATGCATAAACTCAGACAGGCGGTAAAAGAGTATTTGTTTTCAGGGAAAGATTGAACTTTACTATTGTGTGTGTTAGAGGGACAAAATATTCATGAAATAGTAAATTCTTGTCGTTTTTTGAATTCCCATTGACCTTGAGAAGTAACAAACCAGAAACAACAACAGCTTTCGATTAATGAGAACAAATTAGTCTGGTTAGCGAAAAATTTATTCCGCTTCTCAATGAATTATTTTGGTTTTTTCTTGATGTAAGTAACATTCAGAAAATGTGTAAGGAAAAATCCATGTTTGAAAGTTCTGAAATTCATCTCTTCGATCGTAAACATTTTCAGCATCGTTGGTATAGTGGTAGCATAGCAGCCTTCCAAGCTGTTGACATGGGTTCGATTCCCGTACGATGCATAAACTCAGACGGGCAGTAAAAGAATATTTAATTTCAGGGAAAGATTGAGCATTACTATTGTGTGCGTCAGAGGTTCAAAATATCATGAAGTAGTAAATTCTTGTCGTTTTTTAAATTCCCATTGACCTTGAGAACTAACAAACCAGAAACAACAACAGCTTTCGATGAATGAGAACAAATTGGTCTGGTTAGCGAAAAATTTACTCCGCTTCTCAAAGAATTTCTTTGGTTTTTTCTTGCTGTGACACTTAGAAAATGTGTAAGGAAAAATCCATGTTTGAAAGTTCTGAAATTCATCTCTTCGATCGTTAACCTTTTCCGCATCGTTGGTGTAGTGGTAGCATAGCAGCCTTCCAAGCTGTTGACATGGGTTCGATTCCCGTACGATGCATAGACTCAGACGCGCGGTAAAAGAACATTTAATTTCAGGGAAAGATTGAGCAATACTATTGTGTGCGTCAGAGGAACAAAATATCATGAAATAGTAAATTCTTGTCGTTTTTTAAATTCCCATTGACCTTGAGAACTAACAAACCAGAAACAACAACAACTTTCGATGAATGAGAACAAATTGGTCTAGTTAGCGAAAAATTTACTCCGCTTCTCAAATAATTTCTTTGGTTTTTTCTTGCTGTGACACTTAGAAAATGTGTAAGGAAAAATC